GGCATTGTTTTTTTTAATTCGATTAATTGTTTTGATTCTGTCTTGTGGTTATGTCATATTTTAGATGAAAGGGGGGAAACTACAAACAAGCATGTAACAGCTTTCAGATATTGTGTAGCTTAAAAAGTAGTTGAGCTGAAGTGTTCCTTGCCAATGGCAGGCTAGCAATCAGTTGGGGTTAGATCTGGAAAACATCATCATCCTCATCAAACTGTGACGCCCTCAAACTCTGGAGAAGATCATTGTTGTCCTGGATGAGACCACTCCCACAAGATGGAAATGTATCATCTTAAGATAAAAGTGATCTCTCTGAACAAACTTGTGTTAATTTGCTGTGACCCTTCCCACTAAAGGGTTAAGTGAGTGTCAGACATTAAGTGGGGAGAAACAGAACAACTGAGGGAACAACATTATTGCTCCTAATATGGTTTGTCTGAGAAGTGCACAGACCTGACAGAAACCAGTTATTTCCAAGGACAAACTGTCCTAACTCAAGATGAGCTGTGCAAAATGTGCAGTGCAGTGGAGAATGCTCGAGCCTTTATGTAAGAAAGGCCACACAACCACTCCAAAAACACGTGCCCCAGTGCAGTAAAGCCAGGAAAGACTCAGCTGCACATCTACACTTAAGAGAAAGGACATGAAGATGCGCTTCACATTTTAAACCAAGAAGACCGATGCAGGAGACATCTTTGTCCAGTGTAAACGACCATCAGTGAACAGTGTTGTGGTGACTTATGACACCAATTAGCAGCCACTATTGCCCAGTCTTGAGACTCCTTCCAAAGCAATTGAACCTCCCTTTACACTTTGACCCATGTGACCTTACTGACTGACACGATGACAGCATATGTCACTGGCTCTCAGGACTACCTCCAAGGTCACAACCCCACTTGGGATTAAAGACCTGGGATTGCCCATCAGCTGCCAGAACAGAAGAAGAGGTGAAACATCCTTTTAAATCTGAAAAAGAAGAAGAATCAAGTACTTAAGATTACGTGACCTGGATGATTGAGAACCTGCACAGATAAGTGGACATGCCCTACAGCAAAAGAGAGCTGCCATCCCCTTTCTTTGTGTAGTTGTCAAGGTTTCACATTTTCTCTGTATGTGAAACAAAATACTTTGACAGATTTAAGCTTAATCATGAATGGTGATGTTTAGCAAGTGTTTTTAAACCATGTGGGCTGAAGAAAGAGGTTGACTTTCTGCATGAAGTTTTTATGCT